CGTTCATGTGTGTGTAACGTTCATGCGTGTGTAACGTTCATGTTTGTGTAACGCTCATGCGTGTGTAGCGTTCATGCGTGTGTAACGTTCATGCGTGTGTAACGTTCATGCGTGTGTAACGTTCATGTGTGTGTAACGTTCAAGCGTGTGTAACGCTCATGCGTGTGTAACGTTCATGCGTGTGTAACGTTCATGCGTGTGTAACGTTCAAGCGTGTGTAACGTTCATGCGTGTGTAACGCTCATGCGTGTGTAACGCTCATGCGTGTGTAACGCTCATGCGTGTGTAACGTTCATGCGTGTGTAACGTTCATGCGTGTGTAACGCTCATGCGTGTGTAACGTTCATGCGTGTGTAACGTTCATGCGTGTGTAACGTTCATGCGTGTGTAACGCTCATGCGTGTGTAACGTTCATGCATGTGTAACGCTCATGTGTGTGTAACGCTCATGCGTGTGTAACGCTCATGCGTGTGTAACGCTCATGCGTGTGTAACGTTCATGCATGTGTAACGTTCATGCGTGTGTAACGTTCATGCGTGTGTAACGCTCATGCGTGTGTAACGCTCATGCGTGTGTAACGCTCATGCGTGTGTAACGTTCATGCATGTGTAACGTTCATGCGTGTGTAACGCTCATGCGTGTGTAACGTTCATGCATGTGTAACGCTCATGTGTGTGTAACGCTCATGCGTGTGTAACGCTCATGCGTGTGTAACGCTCATGCGTGTGTAACGTTCATGCATGTGTAACGTTCATGCGTGTGTAACGCTCATGCGTGTGTAACGCTCATGCGTGTGTAACGTTCAGGCGTGTGTAACGTTCATGCATGTGTAACGCTCATGCGTGTGTAACGCTCATGCGTGTGTAACGCTCATGCGTGTGTAACGTTCATGTGTGTGTAACGTTCATGCGTGTGTAACGCTCATGCGTGTGTAACGTTCATGCGTGTGTAACGTTCATGCGTGTGTAACGCTCATGCGTGTGTAACGTTCATGCGTGTGTAACGTTCATGCGTGTGTAACGTTCAAGCGTGTGTAACGTTCATGCGTGTGTAACGTTCATGCGTGTGTAACGTTCATGCGTGTGTAACGCTCATGCGTGTGTAACGCTCATGCGTGTGTAACGTTCATGCGTGTGTAACGTTCAAGCGTGTGTAACGCTCATGCGTGTGTAACGTTCATGCGTGTGTAACGTTCATGCGTGTGTAACGCTCATGCGTGTGTAACGCTCATGCGTGTGTAACGTTCATGCGTGTGTAACGTTCATGCGTGTGTAACGTTCAAGCGTGTGTAACGTTCATGTGTGTGTAACGTTCATGCGTGTGTAACGTTCATGCGTGTAACGTTCAAGCGTGTGTAACGTTCATGCGTGTGTAACGTTCATGCGTGTGTAACGTTCATGCGTGTGTAACGTTCATGCGTGTGTAACGTTCATGCGTGTGTAACGTTCATGCGTGTGTAACGTTCAAGCGTGTGTAACGTTCATGCGTGTGTAACGCTCATGCGTGTGTAACGCTCATGCGTGTGTAACGCTCATGCGTGTGTAACGTTCATGCGTGTGTAACGTTCATGCGTGTGTAACGCTCATGCGTGTGTAACGTTCATGCGTGTGTAACGTTCATGCGTGTGTAACGCTCATGCGTGTGTAACGTTCATGCGTGTGTAACGCTCATGCGTGTGTAACGCTCATGCGTGTGTAACGCTCATGCGTGTGTAACGCTCATGCGTGTGTAACGCTCATGCGTGTGTAACGTTCATGCGTGTGTAACGCTCATGTGTGTGTAACGTTCATGCGTGTGTAACGTTCATGCGTGTGTAACGCTCATGCGTGTGTAACGTTCATGCGTGTGTAACGCTCATGCGTGTGTAACGCTCATGCGTGTGTAACGCTCATGCGTGTGTAACGCTCATGCGTGTGTAACGTTCATGCGTGTGTAACGTTCATGTGTGTGTAACGCTCATGTGTGTGTAACGTTCATGCGTGTGTAACGTTCATGCGTGTGTAACGTTCATGCGTGTGTAACGCTCATGCGTGTGTAACGTTCATGCGTGTGTAACGCTCATGCGTGTGTAACGTTCATGCGTGTGTAACGTTCATGCGTGTGTAACGCTCATGCGTGTGTAACGCTCATGCGTGTGTAACGTTCATGCGTGTGTAACGTTCATGCGTGTGTAACGCTCATGCGTGTGTAACGTTCATGCGTGTGTAACGTTCATGCGTGTGTAACGTTCATGCGTGTGTAATGCTCATGCGTGTGTAACGCTCATGCGTGTGTAACGCTCATGCGTGTGTAACGTTCATGCGTGTGTAACGTTCATGCGTGTGTAACGCTCATGCGTGTGTAACGTTCATGCGTGTGTAACGTTCATGCGTGTGTAACGCTCATGCGTGTGTAACGTTCATGCGTGTGTAACGCTCATGCGTGTGTAACGCTCATCCGTGTGTAACGCTCATGCGTGTGTAACGCTCATGCGTGTGTAACGTTCATGCGTGTGTAACGCTCATGTGTGTGTAACGTTCATGCGTGTGTAACGTTCATGCGTGTGTAACGCTCATGCGTGTGTAACGTTCATGCGTGTGTAACGCTCATGCGTGTGTAACGTTCATGCGTGTGTAACGCTCATGCGTGTGTAACGTTCATGCGTGTGTAACGTTCATGTGTGTGTAACGCTCATGTGTGTGTAACGTTCATGCGTGTGTAACGCTCATGCGTGTGTAACGTTCATGCGTGTGTAACGTTCATGCGTGTGTAATGCGTGTGTAACGTTCATGCGTGTGTAACGCTCATGCGTGTGTAACGTTCATGCGTGTGTAACGCTCATGCGTGTGTAACGTTCATGCGTGTGTAACGTTCATGTGTGTGTAACGCTCATGTGTGTGTAACGTTCATGCGTGTGTAACGTTCATGCGTGTGTAACGTTCATGCGTGTGTAACGTTCATGCGTGTGTAACGTTCAAGCGTGTGTAACGTTCAAGCGTGTGTAACGTTCATGCGTGTGTAACGTTCAAGCGTGTGTAACGTTCATGCGTGTGTAGCGTTCATGCGTGTGTAACGTTCAAGCGTGTGTAACGTTCATGCGTGTGTAGCGTTCATGCGTGTGTAACGTTCATGCGTGTGTAACGTTCATGCGTGTGTAGCGTTCATGCGTGTGTAGCGTTCAAGCGTGTGTAACGTTCATGCGTGTGTAATGTTCAAGCGTGTGTAACGTTCATGCGTGTGTAATGTTCAAGCGTGTGTAACGTTCATGCGTGTGTAGCGTTCATGCGTGTGTAACGTTCATGCGTGTGTAGCGTTCAAGCGTGTGTAACGCTCATGCGTGTGTAACGTTCAAGCGTGTGTAACGTTCATGCGTGTGTAACGTTCAAGCGTGTGTAACGTTCATGCGTGTGTAGCGTTCATGCGTGTGTAGCGTTCATGTGTGTGTAGCGTTCAAGCGTGTGTAACGCTCATGCGTGTGTAACGTTCAAGCGTGTGTAACGTTCATGCGTGTGTAATGTTCAAGCGTGTGTAACGTTCATGTGTGTGTAGCGTTCAAGCGTGTGTAACGCTCATGCGTGTGTAACGTTCAAGCGTGTGTAACGTTCATGCGTTTGTAACGTTCATGCGTGTGTAGCGTTCATGCGTGTGTAGCGTTCATGCGTGTGTAACGTTCAAGCGTGTGTAACGTTCATGCGTGTGTAACGTTCAAGCGTGTGTAACGTTCATGCGTGTGTAACGTTCATGCGTGTGTAACGTTCATGCGTGTGTAACGTTCATGCGTGTGTAACGTTCATGCGTGTGTAACGTTCAAGCGTGTGTAACGTTCATGCGTGTGTAACGCTCATGCGTGTGTAACGTTCATGCGTGTGTAACGTTCATGCGTGTGTAACGTTCATGTGTGTGTAACGTTCATGTGTGTGTAACGTTCATGCGTGTGTAACGTTCAAGCGTGTGTAACGTTCATGTGTGTGTAACGTTCATGCGTGTGTAACGTTCATGCGTGTGTAACGCTCATGCGTGTGTAACGCTCATGCGTGTGTAACGTTCATTTGTGTGTAACGTTCATGCGTGTGTAACGTTCATGTGTGTGTAACGCTCATGTGTGTGTAGCGTTCATGCGTGTGTAACGTTCATGCGTGTGTAACGTTCATGCGTGTGTAACGTTCATGCGTGTGTAACGTTCATGTGTGTGTAACGTTCATGCGTGTGTAACGTTCATGTGTGTGTAACGCTCATGCGTGTGTAGCGTTCATGCGTGTGTAACGTTCATGCGTGTGTAACGTTCATGCGTGTGTAACGTTCATGTGTGTGTAACGTTCAAGCGTGTGTAACGCTCATGCGTGTGTAACGTTCATGCGTGTGTAACGTTCATGCGTTTGTAACGTTCATGTGTGTGTAACGTTCAAGCGTGTGTAACGTTCATATGTGTGTAACGTTCATGCGTGTGTAACGTTCATGCGTGTGTAACGTTCATGCGTGTGTAACGTTCATGCGTGTGTAACGTTCATGCGTGTGTAACGTTCATGTGTGTGTAACGCTCATGTGTGTGTAACGTTCAAGCGTGTGTAACGTTCATGCGTGTGTAACGTTCATGCGTGTGTAACGTTCATGCGTGTGTAACGTTCATGCGTGTGTAACGTTCATGTGTGTGTAACGTTCAAGCGTGTGTAACGCTCATGCGTGTGTAACGTTCATGCGTGTGTAACGTTCATGCGTGTGTAACGTTCATGCGTGTGTAACGCTCATGCGTGTGTAACGTTCATGCGTGTGTAACGTTCATGCGTGTGTAACGTTCATGCGTGTGTAACGTTCATGCGTGTGTAACGTTCATGTGTGTGTAACGTTCAAGCGTGTGTAACGCTCATGCGTGTGTAACGTTCATGCGTGTGTAACGTTCATGCGTGTGTAACATTCATGTGTGTGTAACGTTCAAGCGTGTGTAACGTTCATGCATGTGTAACGTTCATGCGTGTGTAACGTTCAAGCGTGTGTAACGTTCAAGCGTGTGTGTTGTTCGTCAGGTGAAAGCCCCAGTCCTCCTGATGTTGGGTGAGCAGGACAGGCGTGTTCCCAGTAAGCAGGGTGTTGAGTACTACCGAGCGCTGAAGGCGTTGCCGGTGCCGGTGCCGGTGAGGTGAGCACAGCGAATCATTCATATCAAAGTCATTACAGTTCGCATGGATACACGGAAGCGACTAACAATTCTGTATTATTAATTTTTAAGGCCAGACAAGTCATTTGTTGAGGTCAACGCCTGTACACATTTATATTCAAACACACACACCTATAGACTAAACACGTGATACACATGTGCACGCCGTAAGCGCTTTCACAGATTCGGTTTTGAAGCTTACGCGGAGATTATAACATTTTCATCATGTTTCAAATCTTGCTAAACCTGTTGTAAAGTTTGCGTTCTCGAGCTCCAAACACTGCTGTGTGTGAATGAACGGCCGGAACACAGTAAAGTGTCTGTCTTCTGTTAGAGCGGTGTCGTGTTAGCGGCCCCTAAGTTAATAAGTAATGATCTTTGCAACGGAAGTGAATCAATCAAAACTAACTTTATCTGGACAATAACTTTATTACAATAACTGCTGTAAAGCCTAAACACTCTCTGTTACTGTAATCTCCTGTTATCACTGTAAAGCTGCTGTGAAACTCTATATTGTTAAAGCGCTGTATAGATGAAGGAGACTTGACTTGACATTCGTGTGTCCACAGATTGCTGTGGTACCCAGGCAATAATCACGCTTTGTCCAAAGTTGACGCAGAATCGGATGGGTTCGTAAACGCCGCTCTCTGGGTCATCCAACACCTTTCTCTGTGATGTCACTTCCTCCACATAAACCATAATCAGCTCTACTCATGATTCGACCATCTCTCTCATTGATAACAGCTGCATCGCCACACTGAGGCATTAACTCAGGCATTCTCTTGCTGCTTTTTCCTTGAATTTATTCAGATCTCAATCAAAATCGCTCATACTGAAGCGAAAAGCACTTGACGAGGTTCACAGGCATATTGTGTGATATTTGAAGAAATGGAAATGATACAATGCCATAAGTATGTTTTAAGTAATTAAATCTAATTTACACTACATCTGAAAAATACTACAATTCTTACTGCTTTTGAAAATGGCTTTAGTGTTCAGTTATTGGCTAATAATATCTGTGCCAAGCTGACCGGTTCTTTTGTAATATGGTTTCTTTCTGGGATATGTACTAAAGAACTTGCTGCATTCTTTTCAATAAAATGTACTGATGACTTTCTGTAAGGCTGATTTTAACCTTTTTCCATGACGTGCTCTAAACCTCATCCCTGCTGGTCTCTTTTCACATTAGATTATTTAGTTTCTCAAGTATGGTATGTGTGCGCCATCAATATCTGTATAGAGCTAGATAACAACTCATGCTATGATCATGCAATAAGAGAGGGGGGGAAATCCGGTTTAGTGCAAGAGAGAAACATATTGTGTCTAAAGCCCCGAAAGCCTTTCATTTGTCAGGAAATCTCTCTCTTAATTTCAGTAACTATTTTTAAACCAAGAATAACTAATATTACTCCTTCTTGCATCACATGCCTCACCACTTCTGAACATCTGTTCCCAGAGTGTGCGTGTGTCTGTGTGTGTGTGTGTGTGTGTGTGTGTGTGTGTGTGTGTGTGTGTGTGTGTGTGTGTGTGTGTGTGTGTGTGTGTGTGTGTGTGTGTGTGTGTGTGTGTGTGTGTGTGTGTGTGTGTCTTTCAGTTACTCCACACTTTTCTTTCACTTCCATGAAAAGGTGAACACTGTTAATATAAATACTCAGACCCTGCGCTTCTGATTTCTTTGCTTCCCCGTGTGAATGTAAAGATACACAGTGTTGTGGAGTTGTGAGATTTGGATTGCAAACCTTTGGTAAGTGATATTCTGTGTTTTAAATATGTTCCTTATGATGGGGAAGGCAAGCAAATAATTTACAGCACGACATATTCAATACTCAGTAAAGTAAATCCTACATAGTACAGTGAATAAATATTGTAAGTTAGTTTATTTGCTATAAAATATTTGAATGTGCATATGCTTTTATTATCGTTTTACTTTACGTAGTATATGTAACAAGTTAGTAATGCACTTTGTAGTTCTAGTGAATATAGCACAGTAAAAAGTAAATGCAGCTTATCTTGCATTGCAGTTGTTTTCTTCTAATATTATTGTTCTGGTGTGTCTAGGCCATGTTTGGACAGGCGTATCTGCTTCTCATACTGAATCAGCTTCATCTTTTTGCAACTATACATCCAGAATTTTAAAAACTTTAAATCAAATACTTGTACGTGCATATGCTTTTATTACCTTTTTACTTTACATAGTAACTGTAACAAATAGGTAATGCACAGTTCAAGTGAATATAGCTAAGTAAAACTTTCATTGCTGTTTTTAACTAATATTATTATTCTCATGTGTCTAGGCCATGTTTGGATTTGGCTTTTTGGTTCTCATACTGAATCAGTTTCATCTTTTTGCTACTATGCATCCTGGATTCTATCCATGTGAAAGTCACACTTCCAAGGACGGACACGTAAATATCGACTGCCAGCACAGACGTCTCGGTAAAATCCCCAAGTTCACATCCCTCTCTGCCGTATCACTCAACTTAAATCTAAACCATATACACTACATTAAAGGGGATGCATTTTCTGGTTTACCCAATCTCAAGCATCTCAGCTTGATGTGGAACTGTGTACCAGAACTCAAAGAGCAGAGATGGCCTTCATGCAACCTGAATGTTGATCCAGAAGCATTTGTCGGACTCAGAAACCTGACTTCGCTCCAGTTAGCAGGGAATAGCCTGAAGAGCATTCCTCCTCTGCCAAAGCAGCTTTTGGTCTTAGGACTGGAATTTAACAACATCTTTCATATCGTCAAACCTCTCGGTACACCTCTACTGAAACAACTACTGCTCAGCAAGAATTGTTTCTACGCCAACCCGTGTGATCAGTCTTACTTTATCGACCCACGTGTGTTTCAGGATCTTCCTGAGCTTTTGAACCTTACCCTTAGTTACAACAATGTGACCGCTGTTCCCCAACATCTCCCACTTTCACTGGAAAGCCTAGATTTGGGAGAGAACAAGATTGAACGTATTAACAAAGACTCTTTTGGCAATCTTACATATCTGCGACATCTGAACCTCGGTTGGAACTGCCAAAGATGTGACCATGCTTCCGAACCCTGTTTCCCATGCCCGGACAACCAGTCTCTGCATCTGCATCCGGATGCGTTTCTGCATCAGAACGACTCTCTAATCAGTCTAAGTCTGCGAGGAAACTCTCTTCGTACACTTCCCCGGCATCTCTTCCTGCAGCTACACAATCTCCGAGATCTGGATCTATCCGACAACTTTCTAGCCTATGCCATACAGAATGGCACCTTTTATGAGGAGCTCCAGCATGTTGTGTCCCTCAGTCTGCTTTACAACTATGAACCCCTGAACACCTTCTCTGAGTTGATTCTGTCACCAGCCATAGAGAAGATGACGGCTTTAAGAGAGTTGTATCTGAGTGGATTATTCTTCAAAGAACTGTCGGACCACAGCCTCGCACATCTGATCAAACTCCCAAGACTGGAGTCCCTTGAGCTGCGCATGAACTTCATCTGCTCCATTAGCATTGATTCGATTAGCAAAATGAGGAAGTTAAGAAGAGTGGGACTCTCCCAAAACATGCTTGCTTTCAGTCCATGTTACTCAACCTGCAATTCTGAAGACACATCAAATTACCAAACCCTTGATAAACGCCACGACCGTGAACATTACAACTTGCAAATCCCAGAAGTCCCAGAGCTGAACTCTAAGCAGGGCTCTGACGGAGATCACTGTCCTTTTTACTACTCAATGTGGCATTTCAAAAAGCAGATCTGCTCTAAAAGCCTGTTTTTTGACCTGTCTCAAAACAACATCCCATGGCTGAATGCAAGCACTTTCAGCGGCATGGAAAACGTGGTATGCATAGATCTATCCTACAACTACATCAGCCAATCTTTAAACGGCCAACAGTTCTCAAGTCTAAGCAAACTAGCTTTCCTTAATATGGCGCACAACCGCATCGACCTGTACTCTGAAAAGGCGTTTCGAGAGGTTAGTGGGACGCTGAAAGCTCTTGATCTCAGCAATAACGAATTCCACTTTGTCATGAAGGGAATGGGACATCGCTTCACGTTCCTTTTACACTTGTCGTCTCTTAAAGTACTGAGTCTAGCGAACAATCACATCGGTTTACGAATCTCTAACGTTCTCAATAGCACTTCCCTGAAGTACTTTGTGTTCTCGGGGAATCGTTTGGACATAATGTGGGACTCTAGGCGTAACCAATACGCGCATTTCTTCCAAGGTCTTACTAACCTTACACACTTAGACATTTCTGAAAACCATCTGAAATCATTCCCCCCGGAGGTGATGGTGAACTTGCCTTCGAGCCTCCAGGTGCTCCGCGTCGACTCCAACATGCTGAGCTATTTTCCCTGGGCAAACATCTCAGTCCTCAAACAGCTCTGTTTCCTGAACCTCAGCTCAAACATGCTTTCGTTCTTACCTTACATCCATTTTGAGCTGCGTCTCATAAGCCTGGACTTAAGTCACAATCGGCTAGTTGCAATCCCAAGGGTTTTCCTTAGTCAGGCAGTGCACCTTAAACACCTAATGCTCAACCACAACCAGCTGAAGATCCTTGACGTACACGCTCTTCCCTTGTCGTTTCATAAAGGTGATGCTTTCTGTGCGGCTGGGGGGAATAATAATGCGTCCTCCTGCAAACTTGTCCTGCACGCCAATCCTTTTATCTGTAGTTGCATTATCTCCGACTTTGCCAAATTCCTCAGAGAAACTGAGCTGGATATCCCACACCTCACCACACAGGTTCACTGTGCTTACCCAGAGTCATTGGCCGGCGTGAACGTCCTCTCGGTTGACCTTCGCTCCTGCCAGGAGATATTTGGGGGATTCGCTTTACTCTGTACGTTATTGTTGACATTGGCCGCGACCAGCATTCCCCTGTTAAAGCATCTCTACGGCTGGGATCTGTGGTATTGCATCCAGATTTTATGGACCGGACACAAGGGACACACTCCAGCCAACGGGAACACGGCCGATAACCAGTACGATGCGTTTGTGGTCTTTGATACGAGTAACAAGGCTGTCAGAGATTGGATCTACAAGGAGATGATTGCGAGATTGGAGAGCAGGGGGAGATGGCGCTTTCGGCTTTGCCTAGAGGAGCGTGACTGGTTGCCTGGAGTATCTTGCATAGAGAACCTCCACCAGGCGGTGTACAGCAGCAGAAAGACGGTGTTTGTGTTGACCAGCCCTAGTGGCTACACTCACGCGAGTGGGATTGTCCGACAAGCCTTTCTTCTGGTTCAGCAGCGGCTTCTAGATGAGAAAGTGGATGTTGCCGTTCTTGTTTTGCTGGACCTTGTCTTCCCCAAGTTCAAATACCTTCAGATGAGGAAGCGGCTCTGCAAGAAGTCCGTCCTGTCGTGGCCCAAGAACCCGCGAGGGCAGCCGCTCTTCTGGAATGACTTGCGTGTCGCTCTTGTTTCTGACAATGTCAAAGCCTACAACAAAAATGTCACAGAGGGCTTCTTATAAAAAGGCTAAAGTGTATTGAGAATATGTAGTTTATATGCATTGAGAATATGTATTTTATGTCGTCCTGTTGTTTAGTTGATTTTTGGTCGGGGATTGTGGCTTAAAACTTATCTTTGAGCACCAAAATTGCATTTAAATTTGTTTTCCTTGAAAAAAAAAGAAAAAAATCAGTGTACCTTAAAATATCTTGAATGTAACTCGACACCCTTGCCTCATCTTTTTGCAACTATGCATCCAGAATTTTAAATACTTGAAAAAAAATCAAATACTTGTATGTGCATATGCTTTTATTACCTTTTTACTTTACATAGTAACTGTAACAAATAGGTAATGCACTTCACAGTTCAAGTGAATATAGCATAGTAAAACTTTCATTGCCGTTTTTAACTAATATTATTGTGTCTAGGCCATGTTTGGATTTGGCTTTTTGGTTCTCATACTGAATCAGTTTAATCTTTTTGCAACTATGCATCCTGGATTCTATCTATATTGGCAATATATTTTGATATATGAAGGTTGAAACTAAATACATTTTAAATTTTAAACATTTTTTTTTTAGCTTCACTGCTGGCTACAACACATATATCATTGAAAATTCAATTCTAAAATGTCAGAAATACATTAATCTAAACATCAGAAACAGCTGAAAGACAAAAAATACGGACTGTCTGTCATATTTAACCCTTTTTATTATGTTGTTGATCAGTTCGACTGGTTTAAAATACTGGTTAACCTAGGATATATATATATATATATATATTTTTTTTTTTTTTACATTTTATAACTTTCTTATTTATGGTCATATGGACGTGCCTGGAAAGTTTTGACTCTTGTGTGTACATCATTTCTGATGATTTTGATGTTCGTGGGTCAATTTGACCTGCAATTTCATGAATAACCGTTACAGCTGACCTAATATAAAAATAAAAAAAAGTTTTGTTTTTTATGTCTGTTTCTCAACTACCTTGAGGGAAAATGTTTATCAGTTCAGGAATGTTAATTTCTCTGGGAATCGAGCGGATGATTTTGGCGTAGTGAGCGCCATGCTCTACTGTAAAACACAAATAAAACAAACATTTAAAAAAATAATTAAAATTAAAAATTTATTCAAATTAAATAAAAAATTTAAATAATAACAAACTAGTTGGAATCCTGTTTATAGAGATTTAAAATGATATTTTTCATAATTTGTTTTGAATCCAGTTAAGGTCAATTCTACAACTTAAAAATTGTACCAAGAATTCAAGCTTAATACAAGTGTACAGAAACTCATGACTCGTGGAGATTAATCTGTTTATCAATATGTTGTTTTCTGCAGAGTGAATCTATTAAGTAAGTAGGCTGTTCACTCATACGTGCCATTGACTTTTCATTTAGCATTTTTTCATTCACTTTAAGTCATGGTATAAATATGAAAGACTATTAGCCATTAACATGCAAACGTCTGCGTAAGAGTAGTGTAAGCCCAGAGGAGTGAAGTTTCCCTGATGAGGAAGTGATGCAGCTGTCGACCACAGCGACGCTCCTCTGACCGCCAGGCTTTCACACACACACACACACACACTTTCATGCAGTTCATCTAAAATAGCTCTGCAGTTTCTAGAGCTTCACTTATAAGACAGCCTCTAAAAAATTATAGTAAGACATAACTGTATATATGTCTTTGCACATTTATTATATTGTAAGATTGTGACAAGATAAGCTATTAAGTAATGTAAAAGTGTCAGTGACACACGGTGCTGGAAGATTAAACTGAGTCCGAGTTACTTTTGTCTGATAACATTAAGGCCTTAAAGAGTCGTCTGGAAATAACATGCTCTGTCTTGAGACTTATTTGTTTGACCAAGAGTATTTATATCATTTCATAGCCAATTAATAATTATTATTATTATAGCTTCTTTCTTGAATCCGATTACATCTTTACTACAATTTTGACTATTTCTGCAATAATATTTACACATTATAAAGGTTCATTGCTTAATATGGGATATATATTTTATTATTATTATTTTGAATACGTAGAAACAGTAGAATAGCGTGTAACTCTACATAATACATAATTTTGCCAAAAAAGGGAAGTGGTAATGATCATATTTTTCTGAAGAAAAAGGTGGTTTCCTTTAATATTTAATAATTCTTGCATTAGAGGAGTGTCTTAAGGCGTGTTTGTTGTTTTTTACATGCATTGGCCAGTTTTCATTGCAGGGCTAGAATTTTGTTTCAAACTTTATTTTTCACAAATTAACTGCTAAGTTTAAACATGCGTTTTTGCTCATAATGTTCCATATGCTGGAGGGCTAGACAGCAGAACACACTCGCCGAGTTTAAACACCAGTCGCTCAGGCGGGGCATGTTGTCACATTGTGTTACAATGAGCCGCTATTAGAACTATTCTATTCTATTATGAATTCTATTGAGAAACCATGAGAAAAAGGTTATTAATAATAATAATTATTATGTTTTGAACTATGCTATATAGATGTTTGTAGATTTTTAATGATCAAAAAATGCCATTATTTTATATGAAAAAGTTAATAATTGTATTTTATTGAGAAAATATTTTAGTTTTTTTTTTTTTATTAGATCAGATATCATTTTAATCTGTCGTATGGTCATGTTACAGTGAACTCCACCTATGGGGCATGTTGTCACAGTTCACTTCCATTCTTTCAAGGTAAATCAAGAAAACAGTAAACACTGTATTAATGAAACAAAACCACATAGTTGTACTAGACGTGTGAAATTAATGTGGGAATAAAAAAATACTCTGAACCCGAAGTCGGCTTACTTGAACTGAGACAGTCTAAAAGCGTTATGTTGTCTAATCATTGAACATCTGACTCGGGTTACAGTTGCGTAAGAACAGAAACACTTCAGACATTCTGCTAACTGGGCAAGTACATGTCAACATATTCTACAAACCCGAACCTGAGATGAATTATTGATAAGGTCCACCTGAGAGCGTTTAAAGAGCCAGATCACATTTGAGAGGGAAGGAAGCCATAGAGATAAAAAGGAAAAGAAAATTCAATGAATAATAGATGATACAGAGACCAGTTGCTCAGCGATGACATGTATAGAAGAAATGAAGAACAAACACACACGTAGCCTAGCCATCAAACCATCACTAAAGTCAGTTTATCAGCTGTTAAAGTGAGCTCGAGAGGATTGTACTTCAGCTCGGTGTTAAAGCCACAGACCGGCGGAGAGAAGCTGAGAATGACCAGCCGGCATCCCTGTTTCTATCGAGTTCCTCCGCAGGAGTTACACCGCAGAAACCCCCTGACTGAAGCCACGCAGACCAAAGTCCTGAACACCGTCATCAGCGTCAAGGTCAGATCTTTACACACACATGTAACAGTCAAGGTCAGATCTTTACACACACGTATAACAGTCAAGGTCAGATCTTTACACCCACATATAACAGTCAAGGTCAGATCTTTACACCCACATATAACAGTCAAGGTCAGATCTTTACACACACATATAACAGTCAAGGTCAGATCTTTACACCCACATATAACAGTCAAGGTCAGATCTTTACACACACGTATAACAGTCAAGGTCAGATCTTTACACCCACATATAACAGTCAAGGTCAGATCTTTACACACACGTATAACAGTCAAGGTCAGATCTTTACACACACATATAACAGTCAAGGTCAGATCTTTACACACACGTATAACAGTCAAGGTCAGATCTTTACACCCACATATAACAGTCAAGGTCAGATCTTTACACCCACATATAACAGTCAAGGTCAGATCTTTACACACACATATAACAGTCAAGGTCAGATCTTTACACCCACATATAACAGTCAAGGTCAGATCTTTACACACACGTATAACAGTCAAGGTCAGATCTTTACACCCACATATAACAGTCAAGGTCAGATCTTTACACACACATATAACAGTCAAGGTCAGATCTTTACACACACATATAACAGTCAAGGTCAGATCTTTACACACACATATAACAGTCGAGGTCAGATCTTTACACCTAATGTAGAACATGACTGAATCTGGAGTCACCTCTGCTGTTCATGCTTTAACCAGTAATGCATGTCTTTGTACACGATATATCATAACCTGTGATTAATCCAAACTTAAATGGTTGTAAGTCATGAATTCAGACCCATTTTAAAGGTGACAAGTTTTGCCCCTTTTCACAAGATGTAATATAAATCTCTGGTGTCCTCAGAATGTGTGTAAAATTTCAGCTCAAAATACCAGATCGTTTAATATAGCTTGTCAAATTTGCCCCTTTTTGGGTGTGAGCAAAAACACGGCGTTTTGTATGCGTCCCTTTAAATGCAAATGAGCTTTAGCTCCGCCTCCGTTCAGAAGAGGGCCTTTACACGAGCTTCAGAGACTGCAATAACAAAACGGACCTTACCCCTGAGAGTAAGGGAACGAGTATTGCGTAGCTAATACGCAGTGGGGAAACTCCCTTTCGTCGAAATATTGAAGCAATAATTTAAAATGCAGTGCAGCTGCTCCGTGAAACACAGCAGAGCGTCTAGCTCGCTCATTGGCTGCGCTGCGGCAACTGAACACCCAATGGCCGAGGCTGGGCCGGCACACGGTGCTGAAGGGGGCGCATATGCAGTGACCCAAAGTCGGAGTACTGACGATGCGGCGGCCATGAGACCGAGACGCCTCTGAAACCTCCTGAGGGGCGTGCGTGCACCAACCCTGACGGAGGATCAGCTGTTGGATAGAGAGAGGAGCTGCGCTCTCATCGTTACAGAGTCGATAACTGTGCCCAAAAAGATTACATTCTGGCTGGGTAACAGTTTGCTCTTGGAACAATTGGCTCTGAGACCCAGGCATTCCAAATGGCTGAGTATCATGGATCTGTGTGTCAATAATTCTGTCCTCGACTGAGACGAGCCAATCGTCGAGATAGTTCAGCACGCGCACTCCCTGTTCCTCAGGGGAGAAAGCGCTGCGTCCATGCACTTCGTAAATGTGTGGGGTGCTAGGGACAGGCCGAACGGCAGGACTGTGTATTGATAAGCCCGCCCCTCGAAGGCGAATCTCAAGAATGGCCTGTGGCTGGGCGTTGTAGAGACTTTAAGGATGAA